CAGCTGAGCTTCCAGACTATGACAGACTAGTAATAAGAAGAGGCAGACTACTTCTGAATGGTAAGTCACTAGAGAACTTAGGAATAGCAGTGGAACACAATCAGATAGCACCAAAATGTTGACTATTGAAACATTATGAATAGCACCAGAATATTTTCAGACATAGTGCTGGAAGATGAGACCCTCAATTTGGAAAGCACAAAAATATGACTGGGAAAGAGCTACCTTCTCAAAGTAGGGTTGTCCTTGAGCAAGCGAATGGAGTGAAGCTTTTGGGACCTTCATTTGTTGAAGGGGCACAACTCAAAATAAGGAGGAATATTTGTAATCATCCATTAATAGTCAGACCCTGGATTATTCAAAGTGTGAGTCTAGGAAAATTAGAAGTTGTCAAAAATGAAACAGAACACATAAAGATCAATATCCTAGGCATTAGTGATCTGAGATGGACTGGTATTTGCTATTTTGATTCTAATGATCACATAGTTTACTATGCCAGCAATGACAAATTGTCATCATCAAAAAGAACCGTTTCAAGATCTGACTTGAAGTATAATGCTGTCTGTGACAGGATGAGATCCATATGCCTATAAGGAAGACCAGTTAATTTGTCTATTATTGAAATTTACAGACCAACCATTAAAACCAGTGATGATGAAATTAAAGAATTCTACAAACTTCGTCATTCTGAAATTGATCAAACATGCAATCAAGATGTATTGATAATTACTGTTGATTAGAATGCAAAGGTTGGAAACAAAGAGGAAAGATGAGTAGTTGGATAATATGGCCTTGGTAATAGATGCTGGAGATCGTATGACAGAATTTTGTAAGACCAATGACTTCTGCATTGCAAATACCTTTTACAATTACATGAAAGACTACTATACACATATAACTTACTAGAAGGAATATACAGAAATAAAATTAACTACATCTGTGGGAAGAGACAGTGTAAAAGCTCCATATCATCAGTCAAACCAAGGCCAGGGCCAAACTGTGTAACTGACCACAAATTGCTCACATGCAAGTTCAGGTAGAAGCTGAAGAAAATGGAAACAAGTCCATGAGAGCCAAAATATGACCTTGAACAAATCACACTGGAATTCAGAGAGCATATTAGAAATAGATTTGACGCATTCGACAATAATGACCAAAGACTAGCAGAGTTGTAGGATGACATCAAGAACATCATACAGGAGAAAACAAAATGTCATTCAGAGGAAAAGGATGTGGGAAAAGACCAAAATGGATATCAGAAGAGATGGTGAACTTGCTTTCCAGGGTAGAGATGCTACAGCAGATGGAAAAAAAAATGAGGAGGTAAAAGAGCTGAATATTTCAAAGAGCAGCTTGAGAAGACAAGGTCAGATATTCTAATGAAATGTGCAAGGACCTGAAGTTGGAAAACCAAAAGGGAAGAACATACTCAGCATTTCTCAATCAGAAAGAACTGAAGAAAAAATTCAAATCTCAACTTGATATACTGAATGATTCTATGGGCAAAATATTGAATAATGCAGAAAGCATCAAGAGAAGATGGAAGGAATGCACAGAGTCATTGTACCTAAAAGAAATGATCTATAGTCTACCATTTCATGAGGTAGCATACTATCAAGAGTCAATGGTATTGAAGGAAGAAGTTTAGTGTGCATGGAAGTCATTGGCAAAAAATAAGGCTCCATGAATTGGTGGAACACAAATTGAACAAGCTGATGTTACACCAGTGGCACTCACTCATCTATGCCAAGAAATTCGGAAGAAAGTACCTGCCCAACTGTTTGGAAGACATCCATATTTGTGCCCATTTCAAAAAGAGTTTACCCAATGGGTTGTGTTTATCATCAGAGAATATAATTAATATCAAATGCAAGTAAAATTTTGCTAAAAATAATTTTTAAATGGCTGTAATCGTACATTGATAGGGAACTACCAGATATTCAAATCTGATTCAAACAAGGATGTAGAACAAGGGATATTATTGCTGATATCATATGTATCTTGGCTGAAAACAGAGAATATCAGTAAGATGCCTATCTATGTTAATGACTACACAAAGGCTTTTGACTGTGTGGGTCATGAAAAGCTGTGGACAACATTGTGGAGAATGAGAATTCCGGAACACTTAATTGTGCTCATGAGGATCCTGTTCATAGGCCAAGAGTCAGTGCTTTGAATAGACCAAAGATACACTGAATGGTTTAAAAATCAAGAAGGTGATTATCAGTGTTGTAATCTATTATCATACTTATTCAATCTGTATGCTAATAATCCTAGAAAAAGGATTGTATGAGAACCTGGCATCAAAATTGGAGAAGATTCAATAAAAGCCAGCAATATACAGATGCTACAACCTTGCTTGCTGAAAGAGAAGAAGACTTAAAATACGAGAGTAAGTAAAAAATAATCTATTCTCTGGTTATGTTAAAACACCCATACATGGCCACGGCTGATGACAACATTGGGCGTGGATGTGAAATGCTTCTCTCGAATAGATGAGTGACAATGGATTATGTGACAAAATCATTTGCAAATCAACCTAGGCAGACAGACTTGGGTTTCGAAAAGTTTGTGTGAGATGGGTACTGAAACAAATCACAGAAGAACATAAATCAAAGTCTCTGGGCATTGTCAAATAAAATTTGGACCAATTCTCAAACGTAAAAGTTTCTTTAAAAAAAATTATTACTAGTGACGAGACATGGCTTCATCAATAGGAGCCTGAGAGTAAATGGTAGAGTATGGAATGGAAGCATCCTCAATCACTGACCAAGAAGAAGTTCAAAAGTCAACTATCAGGTGGAAAATTGATGCTTATATTTTTCTGGAACACTATCAGGAAAAAGGTGCAACATTCAACATTGCTCATTACAGTGAGATGCTCACTGACGAGCTGAAGTGTAACCCTCAGATTAAAGGCAGAGGACTACTGTTCCAGGGCATTGTGATGTTACATGACAATGCATGTTCCCATACTTCTGTCCACACTGTTGGATACTCTTCTAAAACTTCGTTGTGAGGTGATAAAGCATTTTCTCTAGAGTCCCTATCTTGCTCCATTGAACTTTTCACCTGTTTAGTCCTCTGAAAGCAACCCTTGGAAGACAAAGTTTCACCTCTTACGAAGAAGTTGAAGACAGTGGTACATTCGTGGTTCACAGCTCAGCCTAAAACATTTTTTTTTTAAAAGGGCAAACACAAGCTTGTTGACAGATGGACAAAGTGTATTGAAAAGCAAGGCGATTGTGTCGAAAAATGATGCATTTGCCTTTTCTAAAAGTTAATTAAAATAAATTCTACAGCCAGAGTGTAGATAAATTTTTTAAAATGTTTTATTGTGAATTATGTGATAGTTTACATGGGAGAACATTAGCTTTACATTCATCCTATCATATATCATTTCATTGCCATGATTACAATCCCCTTCATGCATCATCAACCAACCAAAGGTTATACCCTGCAAGCCTATCCCCCAGTTGGGTTGTCAGCACCCAGCCCCTCTCCCTCTCTTTGTCTAGAGTCCCCAGCCGCTCCATCTCTCCATGTCATCATCTCTGCCTCCATCTCTGGCATCACTGTTTCTCTGAGTAGGGTCCCGCCCTCCACTCTTCTCACTTGATGGCCCCAGGGACCTCTGCTACTAGACTGCAAAGTCAATCACTTCCCAACTTTTGCTACAAAATGTCTATACCCTTACATTTCCAACCCTCACAGTCAGTCCTGATAACAAATATTCACTTTAGATAACTTTTGACTCACCCTCATACTCACTCGTCAAGATCAAGGACCACAACCTTCCGTCTTGGTTGCAACTCTATGTAAAGAAGATCCAAATCCTCACAAGTGGTCCATTAAATAGCATCATGGTTAAGAATATAAAAGACTGAAGTTATCAAAGACTTCGTTTTGTTTTGACCCACCATCAACACTCACGGAAGTAGCAGTCAAGAAATCAAACGATGTATTACATTGGGCAAATCTGCTGCACAAGACCTTTTTAAAGTGTTCAAGAGCAAAGATGTCAGTTTGAGGACTAAGGTGCACCTGACCCAAGCCATGGTATTTTCAGTAGCCTCATATGCTTGTGAAAGTTGGGTGATGAATAAGGAAGACTGTGGAGTTATTGATGCATTTGCGTTATGATGTTGGAGCTGAATATTAAAAGTACCATAGACTACCAGAAGAACAAACCACTCTGTGTTGCAAAAATATAACCAGAATGCTCCTTAGAAGCCGGGCTGGCCAAGCTTTGGCTTTCTTACTTCAAACATACTATCAGTAGGGACCAGCCCCTGGAGAAGGACATCGTGCTTGGTAAAGTGGTGGGTCAGAGAAAAAGAGGAAGACGCCAACGAGATGGATTGGCACAGTGGCAGCAGCGGTGTGTTCAATTGTAACAACAATTGTGAGGATGGCACAGACTGTGCAGTGTTTTGTTCTGTTGTTTATTGCGTCACTAGGAATCGGAACTGACCCAACAATATATTGGGAAACAATTAGGTTCTGTAATTATGTGACTTGTTTGTACCATCCTTCAAGCCCACAAGTGTCGTTTTCTTTTAGCATCAGTGTGATTAAATAACCAAATTTCATTTTATAGCCACACGTAGTGGCTATTCCACAGCTCTAATTTTGAGACAGTCAAGTAATGTTAGGTGAGCTTTTAGGCAAAACAACAGGGCACTATAAAGGACAAATGTGTACTTATCACACTCTGTTACAGGATGTCACCATTGCGACACTTCTAGTCACCTTTCCTCCCTGCTTTCCCTTCCCTGCCTCCATGAAGCCAACTTTAGAATAGGAAAATGAGGCTCTCTTCGAAGCAATGCTCTGAAAGTGAAAGACAGCTCTTTCCCGTCTTAGACTAAAATTCTACATGTGGGATTTTAAGGTCTGGAGTAGTTGCCAGAAGGTTCATATTAATTGATGAAGAAGAGAAAAGATTGCATTCTTGCTATAATATCATCACTAACACCTATTTTCCACCTTCTCTCCAGGGTCAGAGACATGCTGACTGATGAGATCACCAAGGCAGCTGCAAAGTAAGGTTCTTTTATTCCTTTACCAAAAACTGTATAAACTGTTTTCGCCCCTGGAAGGAACTTAATATTTTTCCGTTTAGTGCATTTTATAATTTTAAGACATTTAAAATAGTCATTTACTTTTTTTTTTATATCAGCTTTTACCCTTTCATTTTTTTTATACTTTTTTTTTTTTTTTGGTAAAAATACAAAGAAACGGATATAAAAATGTAATTTTTACATCAAGAATCACCAAGCTTGTGCCTTTGCTGTAGGCCTAAACAAAAGCCAGGTGCATTGGCTTAACTTTTTAAAAGGAGTTGTAATTTCATTCAGGGCAGGGGGAAGTCCTTGGTAGTATGAATTATGTGGATTCTACAGATAGTTTGTAAATCTCAGCCCTGAACCAGAAAATAAACCAGAGTTGGACTTTCTTTCATTCCACTTTTGTTGCTGGGTCCTCGATATCTGAACATTAATTTTCTAAATACTTAATTCTGTTGTGAAGACCTGATTTCCAAAAGCAGTTTCGGTTATATTCTTAGGTTTATTTTAACAAAGTTTACTTGAGTCTTGCTACCTTGAGGATTATCACTTACCTTAAACCAATTCTCACTAAGAAAATTTACCCTGCTGAACCTATTTGAACAACTTCTGCTGGCTCTTTAGTTAGCAAGCAGACTAATTGTCCCTGGCAGAAAGTTCCCTATCACTTGATGTACACCTGTCCCTTCCTACAGTATCTTAAACTGCTGCTGCTTCTGCTTCTGCATGACTTTCTTCTTATCCTTTGACCTAGAGGATTTCAGGTGTATTCAAAGTCCATGTCATCCAGAATTATTCCATTGCAATATAGGTAACCCCTTGCCATTCCAAAAATGTCTGTAACTTAAAGGTTTTGCCTTAAAAAAACCCAAAACCATGGTCTACCTTAGAGTTTCCTTTCCACCAGTAATTTCTTTAGTAGGTGCATAATCATCAAGTCTGATCTTAGTACAGGATCACTACTCCTCATGACTCAGCCTCGTGTCTCTGAATAAAAGAAAGAGAAGTGCTCATCCTCTAGAAACCAATTCCATAGGAAGCAATGGGAAATAGATGTCTTGACAAAATGAGAGTGAAAATGCAGAGAGTCTTGGATAGGGACTCATTTGTGTCTGCATACGGAGTTTGGTGAATTTTAGACACAGTGGGAGAGCATTCAGCTGCATACTGAAGTAGGGGAATAGGGAGGATGGGCTGTCTTTGACCTTTACCTTTCAGAATTTGTTATATTATGTAGTCTACTTAAAACCTGTTAAACTAGTGCCCTCTGACATTTGCAAAAAAGACTCGAATGCTGAAGAAACTAACTCCTTTCTATTAAAACAAACTATAATTTTACCTTTCTAGTAGCATTTGCATTATCCATTCCAAAATTTCATTTCAGCAAGACTTTAATCATCAGATTTACAAAGCATCACTTTGTGACTGATGCCTAAGGAGATCGTATTCACATTCTCACTGGTACAGAATGAAAGTAATTGATGTTCTCAGAGTGTTAGCTTTTCATCCAAAATTCCTAAGTATTTTATAGACCTTATCTTACTGAAATGATCCTGACAACATCAGCATGACAGGAAAGGAGTGGGAGACAATGGAGATCCAGAGACTGAGACTAATCACAGTGCAGGGGCAATCCATGACGTTGTCGCAGTCGCTTCACTTCTCCCCGCTGGCTTCCTCTAACCAGGTGTGGCACTGCCCCCACCTGCTGCTGCCGCCAGCTTCATTTTCTCTTCCTTGGCCCATGGTTGCTAGGAGCTGGTTTGGGCCATCGAATGGTTGGTTTGGTCAAAGCCATGGGTTTAATGCAGAAGTAAACCACCAGTTGCAAGGTTAGACTGATTTCCTCACTTAAGTCTTTTATAGCTCAGGAATAGAACTAAGGGAGAATCAGAACATGGATACAACTTGAGCATTGATGTAAATGTATTTTCATTGTTATTACTAAAATAAACTTGAACCTGATGATAAACATCCCCAAAGATTGGGTCACTTTACTAATATGAAACCTAAGATTTTGTCCCAATGAAAGCATCATTATAGCTCTTCTTTTCTTGTGCTTTTTAATTAGGTTAATGGCATCACTTTGTTTCAAAGGACAGTTTAATTAAAATGTCAGTGGTGTTGCCTAGATAAATACTGTACTGATGCTGACTTGTAATTATGCAAATTAGTCATGATTGTGTGACTAGTAGGGGACAGTTATTTGAATAACAAGATGATGAATTTTTGCAGAACTAGTTCTAATTTTCATTGACCAGCTCCTCTTTACTTTGTTTCACTACATATGTATTGAGTATCTTTTCTTCATAAGATAAAGGAGCTCTGATAGCATAGTGGTTGTAAGTCAGGGTCCTAACCTCAAGGTCAGCAGTTTGAAACTGCTAGCCATTCCACAGGAGAAAGATGAGGCTTTCTGCTCCCATAAAGATTTATAGCCTCAGAAACCCTATACAGTGTAACTGTGAGTCGGAACTGACTTTATGACACACAACCAGCACTACCACCTTCATAAGACAAATGGGTTGGCCATACAAGGAATGCAGATGAGCAAGGCCCAGTTGCAATACCTTACTGAACTATGTACCTTGACCTAGGCATGCATTGTCTGGTCTGTAAATTAATTTTTTTTTCTATTCAAATATTAATGCTCAAAATTTCATTGAATCTGTAACTGAAAATTTTATTAAGAGTGAATTTGAATGTTTTTCTCAATTGGATAAAAGCAGTGTGTGCTCTGACATGTTATAACCAGTGAAACTTTGGAATGAAAATCATCTTACGTAGTGTTTTAAAATGGTAACTAGCTTTTGTCTTAGAATTTTGGGGTTCAAAATACACTTCTTCTATTGTCTAGTTTTCTTGTTTTACATGATTTGATACCAGATTTCTGGATAACATGTTAGGATATTTCTCTTCAGTTTGACAAAAACTGGGATCTAATCCTCATAACCCTAATAATCTGTCAGTTTGTCCCACTGTGGCCTGCATAGTGCTGTAATTCTGGCGGATATGCCAATAGTGCAATGTCAAGAAAACAAAAATCCTCACCACTGGACCAATAAATAACATTCTTATCAATGGAGAAAAGATTGACGTTGTTAAGGACTTCATTCTTCTTGGATCAACTATCAACACTCATGGAAGCAGCAGTCAAGAGATCAGACGACATATTGCATTGGGCAAATCTGCTGTGCAAGACCTTTTTAAAGTGTTGAAGAGCAAAGATGTCAGCTTGAGGATTAAGGTGCACCGGACCTAAGCCATGGAATTTTCAAATAATCTCATATGCATGTGAAAGCTGGACAGTGAATAAGGAAAACCATAGAAGAATTGATGCTTTTGCGTTATGGTGTTGGAGGAGAATATTGAAAGTACCATAGGCTGCTAAAAGAACCAATAGATCCATTTTGGAAGAAGTACAGCCCAAGTGCTCCTTGGAGGCCAAGATGGCCAAACTTTGTCTCTCATACTTTGGATATATTGTCAGGAGGGAGCAGTCGCTGGAGAAGGATATCATGTTTGGTAAGGTTAGAGGGTCAGGGAAAAAGAGGAAGACCCCCAACGAGATGGATTGGCCAAGTGGCAGCATCAATGGCCTCAAATGTGGCAACAGTAGTGAGGTTGGCCCAGGATTGGGCAATGTTTCTTTTTGCTGTGCATAAGGTCGCTCTGAGTCGGTACCAACTCAATGGCACCTAATAACAACATGCCAACGGTGCCTCAAATGCCAGCAGGGTCAACCATGGTGGACAGTTTTAGCTAAACTTCCAGACCAGTAATAAAAATTAATAGAATGCTGGAAGATGAGCACCTCAGGTTGGAAGGCACTCAGAATTCAACTGGGGAAGAGCTGCCGCCTTAAAGTAGAGTCAACCTTAATGTTGTGGTTGGAGCAAAGTTTATGAGGCCTTCATTTGTTAATGGGGTGTGACTCAAAATGAGAAGAAATAGCTATAAACATCCATTAATAATTGGAGCATGAAATGTCCAAAATATGAATCTAAGAAAATTGGAAGTCATTTAAAAGGAAATCAGTGCATAAAGATCACTATCTTTATGTCATTAGTGATCAGCAATGAACAGGTATTAGTCATTTTGAGTTGAACAATCACATAGTTTCTTATGCTGGGAATGACAAATTGAAGAGGTATGGGGTCTCATTGTCAAAAAGAACGTTTCAAGATCTGTCTTGAAATACATTGTTGTCTGTGATAGGATAGTATCTATCTACCCACAATGAAGACCAGTTAATGCACCTGTTATTTAAATTTATATGTCAACCTGAAAAACCAATGAGGAAGAATCTGAAGAATTTTACCAACTTCTGCAGTCTGAAATTGATCAAACATGCAATCAAGATGCATTGATAATTATTGGTGATTGGAATGCAAAAAGTTGGAAACAAAGAGGAGGGATCATTAGTTGGATAATGTGGCCTTCCCAATAGAAATGATGCTGGAAATTGCATGATAGAATTTTGCAAAACCAACATTGCAAATTCATTGCAAATACATTTTTATTGTTGATAAGTGCCGTCGAGTCGGTTCTGACTTACAGCAACCCTGTATAGGGTTTCCAAGGAGCACGTGGTGGGTTTGAACTGCAAGCCTTGTGGTCCACAGTCCAGTGCTTATCATACAGCACCACACCAGGAATGTAACATCAATACCTTTTTACAACAATATAAATGGTAACTATACGCATGGATCTTGCTAGACGAAATAAACAGAAATCAAATTGACTACTCTGTTAGAAGAGATGATGCAGAAGCTCAATATCATCAGCCAAGATAAGGCCAGCGTTCGACAATGGAACAGACCGCCAATTGCATATGTCCAAGTTCTGGCAGAAGCTGAAAAAAATTGAAACAAGTCCACAAGAACCAAAATGTGACCTTTAATTTATCCTGCCTGAATTTAGAGGCAATTTTAAGAAGAAATATGAGGCATTGCACACTAATGACCAAAGACCAGAGAGAGGATGGCATCAAGATTATCATACATGAAGAAAGCAAAAGACCATTAAAAAGTCAGGAAAGAATAGAAAGTGGATATCTGAAGAGTCTCTGAAGCATGCTCTTGAAAATAGAGTAGATAAAGCAAATGGAAGTAATAATCAAGTTAAAGAGCTGAACAGAAAATATCAAAGGATAGCTGGAGAATACAAAGTATTAAAATGAAACATGCAAAGACCCAAGTTAGAAAACCTAAAGGGAAGAACACACTCAGCTTTTCTCAAGCTGAAAGAACTGAAGTTATGGTACTGAAGAATTCTACAGGAAAAATATTGAATGATACAGGAAGCATCAAAAGAAGATGGATTGGAATTTACAGCCATTGTAACAAAAAGAACTGGTCAGGATTCAGTCATTTCAGGAGGCAGCTTATGATCAAGAATCTATGGTATTGAAAGATGACGTCCAAGCTGCACTGAAAGCATTCGTTGATAAAAACGACTCCCCAAATTGCCAGAATGGAAATGGAAATGTTTCAACAAACTGATGTGGCACTAGAGACACTCACTTGTCTATGCCAAGGAACTTGGAAGACAGCTACCTGGCCAACTGACTGGAAGAGATCCATATTTGTGCCCATTCCAAAGACACGTGATCCAACGGAATATGGAAGTTATCAAAACAGCAGCATTAATGTCACATGCAAGTAAAATTTTGCTGAAAATAATTAAAAAGTGGTTGTGGCAGTACATCAGTGAGGAGCTGCCAGATATTCAAGCCAGAGTCAGAAGAGAACCTCAAATAAAGGAGATCATTATTGATGGCTGATGGATCTTGGCTGAAAGTGAATAACAGAAAAATGTTTGGTTGTGCCTTATTGATTATGCAAAGGCATTCAACTATGTGGATCATAACAGACAATAGGTAACATTAACATTGAGATGAATGGAAGTTCATTGAAGAGGAATGGGGTCTTCATAATTGTGCTCATGAGGAACTTGTATATAGACCAAAAATCAATTGTTCTAACAGACCAAGGGATTACTATATGGTTTACAATCAGGAAAGGTATGTGCCAGGGTTGTATCCTTTCAAGATTTTATTCAGTCTGTATACTGAGCAAATAGTCAAAGAAACTGGATTCTAAGAAGAAGAAAGTCGTATCAGGATTGGAGAAACGCTTATTAACAATGTGTGATATGCAGCTGACACAGCCTTTATTGATGAAAGTGAAGTGGACTTGAAGCGGTTGCTAATGAAGATCAAAGAAAACCACCTTCAGTATTAATCACAGCTCAATGCAATAAAAACAAAAATCCTCACACCTGGTCCAATAGACATCATGCTAAACAGAGAAAAGATTGAAGTGGTCAAGGATTTCATTTTACTTGGATACACAATCAGTGTTCATGGAATCAGCTGTCAGTAAATCAAATGATATATTGCATCAGATAAATCCATTGCAAATGACTTCCTTAAAGAATTAAAGAGCAAAGATAGCACTTTGAGGTATGGGTATGAAAGCAGGGCAGTGAAGAAGGAAGACCTGAAAAGATTTGATGCATTTGAATTATGGTGTTGTCAAAGAATATTGAAATTGCCATACACTGCCAGAAGAGCAAACAAATTTGTCCTTGAAGAAGTACAGTCAGAATACAGCTGAGAAGTGAGATGGGGAGACTTTGTTTCACATACTTTGGACATGTTATCAGGAGGGACCAGTCCCTAGAAAAGGAAATCATGCTTGGTAAAGTAGAGGGTCAGTGAAAAACAGGAAGCTCCTCAAAGAGATGGATCGACACAGCGGCTACAACAGTGGGCACAAACAACAATTGTGCGGATTGAGCCGGACCAAGAAGCGTAGTGGTTGGTTATGAGTTGGCCTGCTAACCTCAAGGTCAGAAGTTCAAAACTACCAGCCATTCCGCAGGAGAATAATGAGGCTTTCTGCTCCTGTAAAGATTTACAGCCTCAGAAACCCTGTACAGGGTGGCTATGAGTCAGAAGCGACTCCGACTCCACGGTACACCACCAACAACAACGTTGAGAAATTCATGGCTGTTTTTAGGGGGAAAACCCTTAGGATAGTCTCACTTGTGTTAGAAATAAAGATTTTGATTGTATTGCCAGCACTTTTTGGTGTGTTCTTAAGTGCCTTCAAGTTGGTTCTAACCCATAGTTACCCTGCATAGGGTTTCCGAGGAGTGGCTGGTAAGCTTGAACAACCAACCTTGCAGGTTCAAACAACTTTGAATACAGCACATTAACCCACCACGCCACACCAGGACTCCACCCGGGCTTATGTTGTTGTTGTTAGGTGCCATCGAGTTATACTGACTCATAGAGACCCTATGCACAACAGAACGAAACACTGCCCGATCCTGGGCCAACCTCACTACTGTTGCCACACTTGAGCCCATTGATGCTGCCACTTGGCCAATTCATCTCTTTTTCTCTGACCCTCCACCTTAGGTTTATGGCTGGTGGTGATTGTGTGCTGTGGAGTCGGTTCCGATTCACAACGACCCTATACAGGGTTTCCGAGGCTGTAAATCTTTACGGAGCAGAAAGCCTCATATTTCTCCCGTGGAACAGCTGGTAGTTTCGAACTGCTGACCTTGAGGTTTGCAGCCCAATTCGTAACCACTATGCTACCAGAGCTCCTTACCTTAGTCTTATAGGAATGCCCAAATCTTATTTCATTCCTGTTGGTTTATTATTAGCTAAAGGTATGTTCAATTAACCTCACTGCTGAACTCTATTGGGGCCTTCTGCTTAGACCTCAGGTCTTTGTCAGTTTTCTTCAATACGTCAGAAGGAGGAAGGCTGGTGGTGGTGTGGGTTGCACATTGGGCTGCTAGAAACAAGGTTTGAATCCATCAGCCTTTGTGTGGGAAAAAGAGGAAGCTTTTGCTCCCATAAAGATTTCTAGTCTCAGAAACCCTATCCATGGTTTCTGTGGTAAGCACCAACTTGATGACTCTTAAACAACAACTGTGTCAGAAGAAGGAAAGATGTTGTTGGCAGCAGGCAGTATATTATATATTATATATAGTATTTAATGTCTTACCCACTTATGGTTAGATCACTGAGAAAGGAAGCCAAGGATGGCTGAACAAAATGGCCAAGTGTGTACAGAGCTGGTCTTCACTGACAATAACTGCTGGCACCAACAACAATGTGGAGGTGAAGAAGAAGGGAGCAAAGATAGGTGGGTGGACAGACATGAGCATTTGATAATAGGAGGCCCTGAGTCCAGTCCTTACCAATGGTAGCAAACTGGCAAGAACATATGTGTACACTAAGCTTTTAATACACATATGAAGTCATGTTTATGGTCTGACTATGGAGGTTCTAGCTGGCCTGCCAGGTGCACTAGAGCTTATGTCTTCCTCATCCCATGTATATCTGCACTGGGACAAATAGGGTGTGATTCTTGAAAATATACATGAAATTCTGGTTCTGGTTTTATGGAGCATTCTCTGCCTTTATGGAAGCCCACAATCCTAGGACTAACTGAGAGTTACCAGCTGATGGTACATGTGTCCTATGGCCTGAGTTTTGTTGTGACAGAATTAGCATCTCATCAGTGTCCGTTCGGGACTTTCTTCTATAGGATTCATTTGGAATTATGGAATAACACTAAATGCACATTTTTCAAGTGGCGAGTGTATTAAAAAGCTTCAGTTTTCTTGATACTAAATTCAAAAATCAGACTTATTTATTGCTACTATTAGGAAATTTCCATTTGGACTATATAAAAGGGAAATTTTCATATCCTTAGAGCCTGAAATCAGACCCTTTTCATATCTTATCTAGGGTCTCCTATTCAATTTTGTAAATTCTATTACAAACTGTTATTGGCTTTGGCATGTGTGTATAAAGAGAAAGAAGGGGAGGAAACTAATGACTGAGAAGGCTGCCCGTCTGCCAAGATGTAAGTGAAGACTGCTGTTTGAAGTGCTTCACTAGAAGCCGGCTCCACACACCACTGCTTCTGAAAAGCCTGAAACCATTCTGTTCTGGTGAGCTTATCCACAGAACGGTCCTTAGTTTGTTTGCAGATCAAGCCAATAAATTTATATTGACCAATGTGGCACAAAAGATCACTTAGGAAATGCAATTTCAGGTGACTTAAAGAAAAAAAAAAAAACCTCAGGAAAAAAGCTAGCTATATGAGCTTGAATTTTTAACTTCCAATAAAAGATTTATAATGACTATGCATTGAAGAAGAGAGTTACAAATCAGCATACATGTCAGAAGAAACTATTGGCATCAGACTAAAACAGACTTGTGTTTAGCAGGCTCACTGAAGGTATGGAAGTATTCCTTTGACCTTATCTGCTCTGGATAAGCACTTTGTCTTCTGCTTTCTGCCCATAGTCCTTTCTTGGATTTTTTTCTTTTTAAACAGGGACAGCCCAGTGGTCAAAGGGAATGCGCTGTTAGCTTTAAGCAGCCTTGCTGTCATCGTATCCAAACATGAAGCCAACCTCTCCTCGGACTCTGATGGGGCCCTGGAGGTGAGTTAAGGGTTGTTTCAATCAGTTGGGCTTCGGCTGTGTAACATTTGAAAAGTGAGAAATGTCTTTAAACCTGGCTTTAGATGGTCTGGCCCTGATTTATGAGGTTCGATTCTGTCATTCCAGCACCTAGTTCTGCTGCTCACCAGGCCTTTACACTGTGAGCCTTAGGGTATTCCTGGCTTTTCCCTGCTGCCTTTCTGTTTTGCTTTCTCCATCACAGCTAAGTGGTCATTTCCATTTGAAGGTGCCAATTTTATGCAACAGGACTTGTCTTTTTGTGATTACATCAGTGGTAACCAATCTTAGGAGGTTAACTAGGCTTACTGAAAGTGAACAATGCTGTCAAAAAATGATAAATAAGCAGTGTTTACTGACTGAAAAAAAATGTGTACTTTGCATTTTAATTGTAGATGTCAATGACAAAGTGCCTATTCATTTTTGCAAGGCATTTATTTCTTAATTAAACATGTGGCAAGAGGGCCAATGTTAATTTCCAAAGTATTTTTTCAGATAATTCATATCTGTCAAAATAAAAAAGGCATGGATTTAGCCCTACTATAAGTCCCAGTATCTGGTAGCTATCATTATCTGGAGACAATACAGCAGAGTGGTTTAAAAACAGACTTGGGGAGAGGAGGGTCCTCTATTTAAATCCTAGTGCTTCCACTTTATGACTTATGACTCATTACTTGTAAAGTTCCCTTGTGAAGTCTGTTTTCTCATCTGTAAAATGGGGGTAAAGATAACCTGCAGCAATGGCTGATAGAAGCTCAGTGCTCCATACATAGTAACAATTACCAGCAGCCTTGGCGTCTGCTTCACGGTATTAAACTGCTGCATTGTGAACTGTTCTGAAGAGCGAATTTTATGTTGGCCCATGCCTACAAATAAGAAATAAGTAAAATCACATAAAACATGAGACAGTTTGAAAATAACATTATGTGCTCTCTCTTCAAACTAGGTTTGACACTTAATTTTTGGGCTTGCTACTCTTGATGCACAAAATCTGACTTTATTCAACATTATTCAGCTTGTCTCTGTCCTATCTTGAGTATTTTATAGGCCATCTGTAATGAACTCTTTTCACCTGGTGGGTATTTTGGGTGGAAGCAAAGAAAATGAGGCTGACTCATTTAAATGGAAAAAGGCACTGGGAGAATATGAAAGCTGGAAGCTCATGGAATTCCAGGCAAAAATGGAAAAACACATTTTGGAAAAAAAAAAAAAAAAAAGGAACCAAGGCCGCTTAGGGATTCCAAGCAACAGGTGAAGATAACTGCTACTGCGGTGTATTTTCTTGGGTCATTGATTGACCTTGTGTTAGTCACTCAAGATTCTAAGTCCCAAGGGTCCCATGCCATCCTGGGCAAGTAGCTTGACTGATGGTTTAACCAAGCTGCAAATAGTGGAAGCAGAGGGCATTCCTCAAAGGGTGTTATTCCCAGTAAACAAGAAAATAGTTGCTGTGTGACAATATTGCAAATGTCTGTTACACGTAGGAAGGCGAAGACGCTTAGGGATTATTGCATGATGATGAATATAGTTAGTTACCATCTGAAAAGTTTACCTTTAAATCCCGAATCTGATTGTAATAGTGAGAAGGAAGAAAACATTTAAAAAGAGGGTTTGTGTCAGATGCTTGAAAGAGTCCTGGACTATTTTAGCAGAGGCAGCTTGCTCAGTAGATGCGCATTCTAAAAAGTGAACTCCCCTCGCTGGAATCCCTTTAATCTGGTGATAGTTATGCTAAATTACCAATTGTACAGAGTCCCTAGTTGATAATAATTATTAACATTCTCAGCCCCTAACCCAAAGGTTGGCAGTCTGCTTTAGAAAAATCAGCCATTGAAAACTCTATGGAGCATAGGCCTTTTCTGACACAGATTGAATCACCTTGAGGCAAATTAACTCAGCAACAACTGATTTACCATTTGTCCAGGTAATTTGCCCCAGTAAGAACTGGAAGCCATATTCAGAGTTTTGAAGTTCTGGCTGTCTCACTCTTCATTATTTCCCCCCTTTTGTTTGATGCTATAACGCATACAACACAACACACTGAGAAACCACACAGCCCAAAGAGGAGACTTTACCTCTATTCTTGATGACCTTGCCTTTGTTGATCACTCAACACAAGTTCAACACCTGATTATTTTACTAAGGTTAACGTTTTCAGACTTCGTTCAAATCCATATGTGTCCACCAACTAAAGATCTTAAGAAGAAGACCTTGTTTGATTTAAGGAATTCATTCCAAGGAGAGATTCTACACTTGCAATAGCCTTTTATAGTTTGTACCATCTGAGTTAACAAAAACCTTTGCCATCTATGGTCATGAATGGTTTTTCAAACCAAATTCCACTTTTATGAGTGGGGGTTTCATTGTTTTGTTTTGTTTTGCCCTTGTCATTTTCCTTCTTTTCCAAATTCAAGAGTTTTCACACTGGAGTTTTCAAGTAGTTAGGCAAGTTCTGTCATGATTCTATGAGTGTACGGTAATAGTAAAATGTAATGCTAGAGATGGTGATGAAAATTTTGAGGCTGCTTTATTGCTTCTTTCATAAAACAAGTCATAGAATTGGGAAGATTTGAATCGCCTTCTCTGAACATCTCTCCCTTTAACCTCTGCATTATCCTCTGACTATAATTCACTGAAGTCAGGAGAAGTCTGAAGGGCTGTTGGATATGGTCTGCAGATCCCATCCTCTGACCTCTGCTAAGTCTGTGTAAGAGGTAAATCTTATTCCTGAATAGAACATAGGTAACAATGTGTATTTGTCAAACATCCATTTAAATCATTAGTCCTAATGTGTGAAATTTATTTTTGATAATAGCACTTCATTATTTAATTTAAAGAGGGTTATACACATAATGTTTAAATTTAGGTTCTATTTTTCCATTATTTTATGGTTTCCTTCATTTACAGATTCAACCTAATTTCATTTCCATGAAAGAGTGGATTTCCATGGTGCTTGATACTCTTCTGGTCATTGTGGATAGTCATTACCAACCCAGAGGACAACTCTTCTCCTGGTTTTATTATGTAAGTCAGAGCACTAAGAAAATGCTCAAAAGAAAACAACCCTCAAGGCTCATATCAACTACTTCCAGGAAATCCCATGTCACGGTATAATGCTGGTTAGCTTTGCTGTACATGAAAATCACATGGGGAACTGTAACTATAAGTGTGTGTGTGCTTATGTGCATGTGCAAAGAAATACTTATATGGGGTCTTACCTGATTTAATTGATTGGAGATGGCTCTGGGCATCAGATTTTTGAAAGCTTTTCAAGTTATTCTAATATTAATCACAGGTAAGAGCTCACAGTTGTGGTAGAATGAACATTGGCTGAAGAGTAGGGACCTTGAGTTTCTAGTCATGTTTTATCATTGCAGGCTACATGACCATGGGCAGTTCATTAAATCTCTTTGGACCTTTGTTTCCATATTTATTAAATGAGAGGTTTGACTATGTTATATGTAGGATAGATACATAGATCAAGAGGCTGTCATTCAAATGGTACAAGGGGACACTCAATAGTTCAAAACCAGGAAAGGTGTGCACAGGAGTTACACCATACTTCTTCAGTCTGTCTGCCGAGCAGATAATTCAAGTAGCTAAATTATGTGAAGAATAACGTGGTGTTAAGATTACAGGAAGACTCATTAACAACCTGCCACATAAAAATGATACAACCTTGCTTGCTGAAAGTGAAGAGGACTTAAAATACTTACTGATAAAATATCAAATACCACAGTCTTCAGTTTGGGTTGCACCTCAATTTAAAGAAAACAAAACTCCTCACCATTGGACCAATAAATAATATCATGATAAATGGGGAACAGACTGAAGTTGTCAAAGATTTCATTTTGCTTGGATCCAAATTCAAAACACATAGAAACAGCCGTTTAAGAAATTAAACGATGTATCGCATTAGCAAGACTTCTTTAAAATAGCAGCAAGAATAGCAGTTTGAGGACAAAGGCACACCTGACCCAAGACATTGTATTTTCAGTTGCCTCATATGCATATGAAAGTTGTACAGTAAGTAAAGGAGATCATAGAAGAACTGATACATTTGAGATACAGTGTTAGAGAAGAATAGTGAAAATACCATAGACAGCTCTATGAACAAACAAATCTATGTAGATAGAAGTACAGACAGAATGTTTCTTAGAAGCCAGGATGGAGAGACTGTCTCTCAGACTTTGGGCATGTTATCAGGAGGGACCAGTTCCTGAAGAAGGACGTCGTGCTTGGTTTAGTGGAGGGTCAGTGAGAAAGAAGAAGGGATGTAGTGGCACAACAGCAGACTAACAACAGTTGTGAGAATGACACAGGACCTGGCATTGTTTTGTTCTTTTGTGCATAGGGTTGCTAAGAGTTGGAACTGATTCAATGGCACCTAACAACAATAGAACTGTAGTAATGCTAACCCTAGCTTTGCCCCCTATTAGTTTTGTGACTGTTGACTTGATACTGAAGCCCTCTCATCCTTATTTATCTATTTTATCTATAAAAGAAGGTAACAATTAATTCATTGCCGACTTATCATAGATTGGGAGGATCTCATCCTGTGTAATTTATGTAAGAATGTTTTGAAAACTGTGATATACTCTGTAAGTGAAAAGTAAGACTGTTGTTGATACTTAAGAAGCACCAGTTAATCATTGTCATTGTCTTGTTTTGCAGGTAAAACAAAAACATTTTCTTGTGTAGTGTTCCTTTTCCTTTTTTTACTTGGGATGCATGTTTTATTTTTGTATCCACATGGAATTATTTTAGTTTTTACCTTGTCACTATCCATTGCTTAGGGAATTATAGTGATCATGGGGCAATCAGCTGAGTGGCAGAGGATTATACTTGATTTGAATTAAAATATAGCACAGATCCTGAACTGTTGCTAAGATCTTGCATTTAGCCTGATATCCCATTGCCTTAGCTCTTCTCTGTACAACTGTGGGTGCCTCTGACCTACTGCCCTTAAGAACACCTGGTATGTATTCATCTGGGGAGGTGGGTGGGGTGCAACTACAGTTAGATTTTTAAAGCATACTTTAGGACCAAAAAAAAACCCCACAACTTACCAGGAAATTCAGAATTAAACTGTAAAGTAGTTTTGTTGTGTTTTTCCTCAAAGAAGTAATTTCTTTATGATGCTTTGCTTTCTGTAAGAAGTGTTATTTATTTATTTATTTTTAATGATACATGAAAAAACCTGCTTATAAGTTTTTATGGAGGTCTTTCAATAGTTATCTGGTTGAGATAGTCACCAGGACAGGATAGTGTAGATTTCTAATCATGCTGCTTAGTTCTTTGAAACCAATAAAAACAATCTCCTTACTAGCCTGCATAGGGTTGTCTCTTACCCGTGTGTGGTTTTACATTATTATACTTTTCAAAGCCCTATTTCAAAAGTGACTTCCTTTACTTTCCATTGTCCTAACATTGTCAGCATAGCAGGGCTGCATTAACTGAAAGTATAACTTCGCACATGTGTGGTTTGATCTTTATAATGCTAAAGCTTAGCGAGCAATTGAGCATAGAAATAAAAACACTTTTAAATGTGCTTTGATGGCAAGGGACAGCAGCGCTTTTGTGGTGTCTGGAAATTTAAAGTGGATAATACTGAGGAATGATCAATGGTCTGTCTTCTCTGTTTGAGGCATATTTATGAATGTATATAATGTCTGGTAGAACTCCCTAACATGGATTTCTTAGAGAAGTTTTTTTAATCGGGACCGTTTGTCATTTTATCGGGATTCTTCGTCATTGCTTTTCCCATAATTACACATATAGGAAGGAGCAGCACATAGGCTCCCCACTTCATTCTGAATAGCTAGTTATTGCTTTGTAACCAGAGGCTTTTAGGATTTCAACTTCCTTTTTAATTAAAAGGAATTAACCCCCTGTAGGAAATAATCCATCTACTGGGAAGCGTTCCCACCAAAAATTTTGGGAGATCTGCCAATAGATCCCTACACTAAACTTACACTCTTCCTTCAACACTAAACTTGAACCCCCCCCCCCCCCGCCCTACTTTTCCCTGCTCCTGGAGAACTCCTGGCTTTCTGGGATCATATTTATAGTGTGGCTTAGTGATATGTCCAAACTTGGATTACTTCACTTTAGATATTTCAGTATCTGCACATTCGGGCTCTTGAAAACACGGAAACTGTTTCAGCCTTCATAGTGAGGGAATTCACATCCTTTCAAAAGGACACTTAAAATTTGTTTTTTGAATTTAAAAGGCCATTATTAGTCAAGGACTGTTTAGCTGGCAAGTTTTATTTTCAGTAGAGGAACAATCTACCCTGTAGACAGAGAAATTGATTTTTTTAAAATTATTTTTTGGTTAGCAGGGTTGGGTCTCAGAGAAGCTCCTATTGTTGTATAGTGCTTTTGTGAAAGGCATGCTTCCCTCATGTTTTAAACAAAGGGCTAACCCTCTGTTCTCTTTCTTTGGCATGTCCTAGAAATCCTATTCCGGTGAAAACACAGCGAGCACCATTGCCCGTTCAGCTGCCGCCACGGCTTTGTCCCTCCTCGTACCAGTTGTCATTATCTCTTGCAAAGAGAAGGTTGAGGAAATCCTGAACATGCTGTCTGCCAGGTTACCTGGGAAACCAAGTGCTGATGAGCCTCAAACAGTACAAATCCACATGGGCCTTGCTTTGGGGATGTTTCTCTCTCGTTTGTGTGAAGAGAAACTCAGGTATGGTTGATTTAAATAGTCTTGCTTTTCCTCTTCGTGATTCAGATGAAGGACTCCACACACAAAACACACACACACATTTACATTGTATCTGAGAATATGTGCTTGCTAAACTTCCTGAGATGGGCAAGGTGGTCCTTTTGTCTCCTTGATGGGTACATTTATCATTCTAAAATATTTTGATATATTAAAGTGATTGATGACTTGGAGATCACTTCATACTTAGATGCAGCCCTAGGTTTGACGAAAGGTCTCATCCTGACGGTCAGCTGCCTTTGGTGGTTTGAACCGTGTGGCACCAATTGGGGACTGTGTACTGACAGCATTGTAAAGTGGGAGGAAAGCATAGGGGTATCTCCCTGATGCCTGAGGATGAATCACCTGAGAACTGCATGTACCCATTCTTAACTACTGCTTTTATCCTGTGCTCTGGCTACGTTTTTATAATCCTTAAAGAGTCTTAATCTGTGCATATTATACTGTGTTCTTTATTCAGTTTGATTGCTCAATTTTGGACTGCTAGCTTTACCCTTGATGAAGCTAATGGAATATCAAAGGCCCAGGTGGAAAATTCCACTAAGTGGGGATGTGTTCTTGTGCATGCATCTAGTTTTGTGGTTCATATTGTTTATTGTTGATTTGACAACAAACCATGGAATTTTACATGTCCAGGCTGATTGTAGTGTGGTGTGCCACTTGACTATTTGGATACCATTAACTTAGAGTTTTACCCCATTTTCTTGCACTAGACGTAGATCGTAGCAAGGGGCATCCTTCTGTGATGCTGTTGCAGTTGTTAATTGCCACTGAGTCGGTTTCAACTCATAGCAACTTAGTATAGGGTTTCTGAGCAGCAGTTGGTGAATTTGAGCCGCCAATCTTGTGGGTTTTCTGTCCTGTGCTTATCCTGCATCGTTATACCAGGACTCCAGTTGTGATGTTAGATGTCCTTAAACTTCCCTGATAGGCAGAAAAGAACTGGTATTGAGTCAGGCAAACTGGATGGCATTATGGGATACTAGATGTTCAGTTTGGAAATCAATGGTTCATATTGCATTTGTAATTTACATAGTTTTGCCCAAGCACCAACATGTGAAGACTGTTTGAGAATTACTGTTGACCTGGGAAAATACTACATTTCAGATGATCATATTCAGTGTGTGGGCACATCTCTCAGGTGACTAGCTTAGTCTTTGCAATCATAAGCAAATTTTGTCCATCTCACCAGCATTAATGCATACGATGGGCCTGGCTCTGAACTTGCATGTGGATTGACTATTACATATCTAGTTGTGTGATAGAACACAAAGTGTTTTTAAAGACTTGAAACTCAGTGGAGATTTTTAGACCCCTCTGCTACTGTAATCTCTTCACTGTGTCTGTGCTCTTTCCTTGGTAGCTTTTCAAGCAGCATGTTTTACAACGAAGCATGAGCCATGGCAGCTTAATTCCAGGCAACTCCTTTCATCCTAGCTGGCCTCAGCTTCTTTCTAGGGTAAGATGCTGATGGTTTTAGGGCTGACTCACTTGCATTTGTGGTTGCTATAATCATGCTGCTTGATTCACCTGACGTGCTCATCCCTGGCTCCTAGGTTGTTTTCTCCTCCACCTATCTTACTGGAGTGTGTGCCTGCAGGAAACCCAGGGGAAGGCACTGGGGCTCTTCCCATGACAAAATGAGCACCCCCAGAATAACCACAAATTTAAGCTTTGCCCTCACACTCCCATCAGGAGCCCTGGCAGTGTAACTGTTGAACAATCAGTCATTACAGAAAGCTTGGTGGTTCGAACCCACCCTGTGGCTCCACAGGAGAAACACCTGACCATCTGTGTCTGTAAAGATTACAGTCAAGGGAACCCTGTGGGCCAGTCCTGTCACATGGGGTTATTGTGAGTTGAAATCGACTTGACGTCATCTAACAACACCAACACTCCCTTGGTTGGTGTCATCGGTTACTTCTTTTGGCCTTTGTGTTAGTACTGTGGCATCCTGGTGTGGCACTGTGGATTTGATCGCAAGACCAGAGGTTCAAACTCACCAGTCATTCCTCAGCAAACCTATAAAGGGTCACTGTGGGTCAGAACCGACTAGACAGCACTTAACAACACAACAGCAATGCAATTACTGGAGGATTCGGTTGCCTTGGCCAGACTAGACCAAGTGATTTTGAGGGCCTTAGCGTAGTTGTTACGAATTGGGCTGTGAATCATAAATTAGCAGTTCAAAACTACCAGCTGCTCTGCAGGAGAAAGATGAGGTTTTCTGCTCCCGTAAAGATTTACAGCTTCAGAAACCCTGTACAGGGTCACTATGAGTCGGAATCGACTTGACGGCACTTAAAAACAACAACAACATAGGGTTTCCAATATTAAGCAAGTCGAAGGCACTTAACAACAACAATTAGTACTGCAGTCAATAATTATTCATGCCTGCCACCTTCCTAGTATTTTGGAGCAGAAGAATCACTAATATTTGCTTTTTAGTACTATCAATAAATACTTTACCAGATGATAATATGTTAAAAGAAAGTTTCCATTTTTCTAAAACAAAGGTCAGTGTTTTGAGGGCTTTTGACTCTGAATAGTTCATTAATGATAGCAAATAAGTGGCTCAAAATGGCTCTCTAGGGGAACAGGATTAGGTTAATACGCTGATTCTCAGGTAAAGAAAAATCATTTTGTAGAAGAAAATTTACCAATATTTAATTATTATTATTGCTGAAGCTAATCATTTTGAAAAAGCTTTGTAATTTAAATTCTAATACAGAATTTATTCAGAAAAGTGTTATTCCAAACCATCTTGCTACTTCCATAACCTCCAGAAGATACTTGTAAAATCCCTTAGCATTTGTATAGGATATTTAAGTATATTTTACTCAAGAGAACAACTATAATAAGGCTTATTTAGTTAAACCTATTACAACTGTGTAGATGTGATGTGTTTATTTCTGTCATTGCAAAATGCAATCCTTCCCCTCAAGCAAAACCACAGAGTCTTAGTCTGGGAAGACATTATTTAAAGTGCTTTCCAAATGATTGGAATTCTGGGGGTTGCATTCCACTTACTAAGGTCTGAGGCAGCCTGAGAATTGAGACCCCTTGATAATAAAGTGTCGGTGATGAAGCCCACAAGTCTGCCTGCAAACACAGCCAGAGACTGACTGCCTTTCAAGTTTTATCATGCACATATTAGTTCTGACCAAGCCACTTGTAGAAATCACTCCAATTGCTGCCTGAAGTCAGAGAAATGCAGAGTTGGGGATTCTTTCATTCATTCTTTCCTTCCTAATGCAAGTAAAGGAATAGAACTTATAACTATCAGGATTCAGACAGACATAAAATAAAAAATGACAGTCTCTGCTAAGAAGAGGTTTGGGAGGATCACTGATGATATTTTGCCCTTTTAGCTTATAAATATTCTGAATAAAACTCACTTTTGCTTTCTTTTATGTACTTATTTATGTAGATTCTAGCTTTAGTTATTATATCTCAGTGATTTAAAATTTGAAAGGGCTGAGAAAAATCAAAAGGAAGTCTTAGGGTTTATTGGTTGGCAAATGATTGTAATGTTCAGAAGCCAAATTGTTTAATAAAGTCTCTGACATGGTTTCTTTGGCAACAAAATAAGTATATGTGAATCATCAGTATTAAGAATGATTACCTTTTTGTTTTGTTTCTTTGTTTTTTTAAAATGCTGGTATTTCCAGTGAAGTATTGAGAGTAAAATATCATCTATATTAAGTGATTTATGTTCTCCCCTTGGTCTTCACCCTGTTCCTTCTCAGTGACGTGTCAGGCCAACAGATGAACCTTCTCCTGATGAAGTCTTTGGATGCTCTAGAAAATTGCTGCTTTGACACCACTCTTGAATACAAGTATGTTGAGTCCATTTCCTTTCAGAATTGGCTCTTAACTCCAATAAACCTTGCAAGCCATGTGCAGTATCTGTAAGAACTGCTTGAGTTCCTTTGCAAAGAGTTTTCAGTGGTAATAAAAAATCTAATTAAAACCAATACTTGTCCCCAAAACCACATTTCAGTTTTAGATGGTTTGCTTTCGTATAATGCAACAAATGCTATTTTGTGGCTAAATCTTTGTGTAACTAAGACATTAGTTCTGTCTTGTACATAATCATATAAAACATAAACAGAATCTAGTTGTACAGTGTAACCTCTGTAAAAAATGTAAAACCATTCTCTAAATTAGATTTGACCAGGAAAGCCTTGAGCTCATGATGTAGGTTTCCCGTTGAAATCTACATGTGTGCAGAATCAAAATGAAAGACAAGCATCCTTACATCAGGGAACCTTAACCTCCTCTGTCTTAATAGACTCTTGTTTTTCTTACATACCTTATGCTTTTTTACAATGTTGTATATTGAATTAAGTATCTTTAATATAATTCATATTACTAACCCATTCTAGTATTCTAGTAATGAAAGATATAATAAATATGAAAAAGAATAATCAGAAAAGAATACCTCAAAAACAGTACTAATTGGATTTCTTTAGTGAGACATTTAATGTTTCAATTAGTCTTATCACTTATGTGGGTGAATATATGGTTTTGTAAGGCTTTCTGAAACATTGCAAGGTTGAAGGTTTAAGCTCACCAGCTGCTCCTCGGAAACCCTATACAGGGTCATTATGAATCAGAACAAACTCTATGGCACTTAACAACAAAAACAAAGGAGAGGAATGTCCTGGTGTGGCGCTGGAGGATAATGCACTGGACCGCAGGGTTGGTTTGAATGGAAAGGTTGGCGGTTCAAATTCACCAGCCTCTCCTCGGAAACCCTATACAGGGTCACTATGAGTTGGAACCAACTCGATGGCACTTAATAACAACAACAATGGAGAATGGAGGTAAGGGTGATTCTGGATAGGGGACTGGTCTTGCAGAAATAAGTAAAATACGCCATCAGAAATTTTCTGTCCAGTTAAATGCTTGTCTCTCAGCCCTACTGTAAGCTCAGGTCCTTCAAGATCCTCACCCTCTATCCCAGGGGTGGGGAACATCTGGCCCACTGAAATTATTTGGCCTGACTCTACTTTTCATGTAATTTAATCCACATCACAGCCTAAATATTGTTACAGAAGCAAGTGTCATCATCACTTTGGTTTAAAGATAACAAAAATGAGTCTTAAGGACTTGGAGACATGTTTGAGGTCACACCTTAATAGGTTCAGGGGAAGCCTGCACCTTAATAGGTGTAGGGGAAACCTGGGTCATCTGACTTCAAAGCCAGTTTCCTTTCTCTTTCATGGCACTGTGTGGAGGACAAATTTCAACAGGAAAAAAAAATGCATTTTGAAGCTCGACAGTGTGATGTTTATTTATCTGACATGTGGTGTTCCCAATATAATTGTTTTTTCCTCCTAAAAAGGCCTACTTGTGAATGCCTGGCTCCCAGCATAAAGTGTTCCCTTGCCTAATGAGATTGCTGAAGTCGAGGATAAACCTCCTTCCAGTGAAATAGTGGAAGCGTTATCAGGAGGTAGTTAATAGATCTGGGAGCGTGCTACCTCAAGTGCTAGAATTCAGCCAGAGCAAATTCACCACGCTTCCCTGATTTAATGGACAAGTCCCTGCTGGGAGAACCAAACACCTGGGCTGAGCCTGTTTGTGATCCCATCCCTTACACTTTGCTGCCACCTAGTGGACAGCTCTTAACATCATTACAGGTCTTACAAGCTATCCATCAACGACCTGAGCTTTGGTTAATTACTATTGAGCTTTTTACAAATACGATAACATTTGTGTAGCACTTTGTAAAGGGCAAAGCACTATACAAATGTTAACTGTTATTAGAAGTAATTATCAGATGGCCCACTACTTAATCTGCTTGATAGTCTACAGTAAACTAAAGAATTCAAGATTCATCTCAGGTTAATTTTAGAAAAGTATATCATTATATCTCAATATAGTAACACACATACCAGAATTTACACAGTTTCCTAATTTCCTTTTACCACGAATATTTTAATATACTTGAATGAGAAGCTGAATAAGTAATGACCTAATAGGCCATATAATTTAAAAACTCAGTTCTTTATCATGCGTTGTCATTATAATAGGGCATTTGTGTTAGCAATTCGAAAACATCGATTTTGTACCAGTTTTGTTTGTTTTCATTTTTATGAGACACCAACACTTAACTTCTGCCCAAGCTCTTCTTGGTTTAGAGTTGGCAGTTAAATCAAAAGGAGTCTGTTGTTGTTAAGTGCTGTTAAGTCGGTTTCAGCTCATAGTGAGCCTATATATAGGGTTTTCAATGCTTTAAATCTTTATGGGAACAGAAAGTCTCACCTTTCTTCTATGGAACAACTGGTATGCTCAAACTACCAACCTTGTGGCTCACAGTCTAGTGCTTATTCTACAGAGCCACATCACTCCCCTCAAAAGGAGTCTAGGACACGGCCAATGCTTAGAAATGCTAAAGTATCTGGGAAATATTTAAGACTTGGGCCAAAAATAAGCACATTAGAATACAGGAGATTCAGAAATCGGAAGGAATCATTAAGAAGTAAATTGTGGTACACCCTGGGTAATTGAGACAGTGTAGGAGGGACTCTTTAAAAGGACAATGTCTGCACCCACTCTAACTGGTTATATTAGCACACAGATGTAGAGTCAGAGGTTATACATAGACTTATTACAACGGTCAGTTAACCACTTTTGTAATAATAAATAGCGTAGTTACTGCAAGGTAACCTGGCCTGAGAATAGTGATAGACTTTGGTGATTTGGAGGTAAATGTGGACGAGAAACCAGATGTGCTGTTGTAAGCATTTGTACCTGTAAGCTCTGGGATGGTAGTGGAGATACTTCATTCAGTCCAGGAGATTAAGCTATTGGAGTGTCCAGAATAGTCGAGAAAGCAAAACATAAATATCTGCCTACTTATTCAGAATGATGAGCCCCAGTAGTTGCTTGAGTGAGTTTTGAGCAAGAATTAGTTTTTCTGTGTAGATTCAACATCCCTCTTTCTTAAATGTGTCTGGAAAGAAGTAGAAATTGAATTTTCTTGATTGGATTTTGAGTAATATGTTCAGTGAGTTTTACCATTCATGAATTTTGACTCCAACTAAATGTAAGAATCAAGTTTTGTTTTTATTTTCTGCAGCTCTTCTTTCCACTTTTCACCCTCCTGAGTTTTTTGCACGTGGTCAGTTCTTCAGCATTCATCAAATATTGGTTGAGAGTCTGTATGTCATGTAGTATGCTAAATACTGTGAATACCATGGTGAGGAAAAACCCAGAGCTTATAGGCTGATGAGGGGGCTAGGCAGGAATCCATCAGTCTCCCAACAGCCCTCCCCAGAGTACATCATTAAAATTGTATGAAGTCAAATTCATACAGTATGCAGTGGGAGAATATTAAAGATGTTCCTACAGGGCTAGGGAAGGTGTCCCTGAGAAAATAACTTTTGAGATTGTAAGGGCAAATAACCATTACTTAGACAAAGAGGGAGCAAAAGTCAAATTTGCCAAAATCAATTTTTATATGGCTGTGTCTTTACTCTAATACTGTCAAAGTTTTATGTAGATCAATATTGAAAAATAGTACAGAAAAATCTCCCCTTATTGATTTATCCCCTTATCCTAAATGAAAACAAAGACTTTAAATTTACATGAAGCAAGAGCAGCTGACTGCTTTTCCTCTTGCAGAAATGTGATTTGTCTCAAAGGCATGCAGTGTTCAGATGTTAGATGTTGATTAAACTGGTTGAAAATGCATTCTGCTAGTTGAGCTTGGTGTTGAGTTCATGTAAGCTGTAACAGCAGTTCTGCCTGACTAATGATGGATTATGACCGCAGTAGCTTCTTTACAAAAGATTTTCAAATGCCAGATTGTTACGCAACAGAAACTAGAAAAACACACTTGAGATATGTAGCTTTCTCTCAGGCATTCTGTCATGGCATCCTGCAGGGCACCACGAGGGGCCTTGGCCTTGGCAGATGGAGCAGAAGGCTGGGAATCCAAACCTCCCTTGTTCTGGTCGTGGTCTACTGGGAGCTCTGGGTGACCTTGAGCAGAACCTGTCGCCTGGCCATCTTCTTGGGGGTCTCCCAGCAGATGTGGAGGGCCTGTTTGCTCAGAGGTTTGGGGGAAGTAGCTAACACATCCGTAAAGCTATATGAAGCTTCTTGATGCCAGCTAAGAGGATAGATGCTATTTGAGAGCAAGCTGACATAACACGGGAGCGTTTAAAATATGCTCTTGGAGAAATGCCCTGGAATGTCTTCTTCAGCAACAGATAACATGCCGAGAGGACAGCCAAACCACAGGGAGAGAGGATGGTTTCTAAAAAACTCGGCATTTCTTGTTTTAAGCAACAACAGCAAAAAAGGGTTTTGTGTTGTTGGTTTTTTTTTTTTTTTTTAAAAAGAAGAAACAAGTTTAATAGAAATGGCATGATCTTATCATACCAGCTAGGAGTTTTCTCACAGAACAAGTCTTCCCTTTTAATGGATGTGTATTCTTTCAGGAGAATTGGAGAACAAAGTCCAAGATTCCAATTGAATTGTCACATGGAGTAACTTTTGACAGGCTTGTCATTTGACCATTTTCTCTTCTGACCCAGTGGTATGCCGAGGCACCAGAGAGAAGAGCAGGATTAGTGTCTTTGTCCACAGAGGAATCACAATTGCTTTAATAAAGAAATTCCACTTGTTAAAGTTGACTGGGAAACACAAACCACTTAGGAGCCCCTCAGAGCCTTGCATTTACCTTTTTTGTTAAAGTCAGAAGTCCTCATCTGTTAGTCCTGAAATTTAGCCTTTTTTTCTCTTTCTCCAGCTAATCATAGTGCACTCAACATAGGAGACTATAACATTCCCCAAAGCGTAGAAATATAACGGATCTCACTCCACTTGGATACCTCCTCTCCTCAACATAGATTTTAAGCCAAACAATTTTGTGTTTTTTGTCTGTTTTTCCCCAGTGGGTACATAACGCTACAAAATGTTTCATATGAAATTTTTCTTTCTAAGGGAGAGATAGCGCTACCTGTGATGGTTCATGGGGTGTATCTGTACTCTTACTGTTGCTGTGTTGAGCTATTGAGTTAGTTCTGATTCATAGCCACCCTGTATAGGGTTTCCAAGGAGCGGCTGGTGAGTTTGAACCACCAACCGTATGGTTAGCAGTCTAGTACCAATCCAACAGCACCACACCAGCACTCTAGATAGCAGAATTTGAACCCAGCCTTCCACCTCAGGTGTCACAGCACAGTGAAGAACAATTACAAGGATTTCTTGTGGTTCTAACATACCTCCCTTTTTTGTTTGGCATCCAAGCACGGGTTGTATACTGGGAGTTGGACTTGTTCTATCCCTCATGAGCCATAACAACCAAGTAGAGTCCCGGGTCCACGTGGCAGCATCTCTTCGGAAGCTCTCCACTCACCTGGAAAACAGTGGGAGCCAGAGCAGGACATTTCAGGAGGTAGGAGGTGGAGGTCACGGATTCCTTCCCTTTGCTGCTGTGTTTTGTTTTCCTGATGCTGCTTATTTTCAACTTCTCATTGTTTACTAACCTTATAAATTAAATTCTTCCTCATTTCAGCTGGCAAAATGAGAAAATCTGAGTGGCACACCACCTACATCAGATCATAAGGTTTTCAAATTGCACAGCTGTTTAAATCAACTTCGACTTAAATGTAGCTTATACGTGAATGGTGGTGGTGTGCCGTGGAGTCAGTTCCGACTCATAGCTACCCTCATAGGGTTTCTGAGGCTATACATCTTTACATGAGCAGAAAGCTCATCTTTCTCCCACAAAACTGCTGATAGTTTTGAACTAGCTGACCTTGAGGTTAGCAGCCTGACGCATAGTCACTCCGCTACCAGAGCTTCTTATATAAGTGAATACGAAATGCCAAGTCAGCCTCACTTAGAAGGCACTTTCGAAGAAGAGCTGCAATTTTAGGAGGAAGGCTAAATGGAGATTTTCAGACATGTGTTCAAGCCAAGTGTAACTTTAGAAAATGGCCAAGAATAGTTTTAAGAAACTACAGATCAAAAAGCCTTATTTTTTTAAAAATGTCAACTGCCCTGAAAAATTGTTGAGGAAAATTCCCTTTGCCATGCTTCTTGGAAAGGCTTTTTAAATTTAGTACAGTACAAAATATGCAGAATTGCAATGCATGTGACATCATTTGTGTGGGTTAGCAAGGCTTAGGTGGTCTGTTTTAGGCATTGACCAGTCTGTTCTCGGGTTTTGTTCAGGTGAAACCGAACCGTCTGTGCTTTTCTTTGGGAGGAGCCAGGGGCGGCCTCATGACTTGGCCAGATTCTCCCTCTCATTAGAGCAGATTCTATTTTGTCCCAGTCGGCCCACCAGCTATTGATGAGTGCATAATGGCGGCTGTGTTTCTCTGCTCGGTTCTCTGCTTTCAGCAATAGGAGTCGTTGAATTGGTGAATTTCTTTGCGGCATGGAGGGTTGAAGTTTTGTTTCAAGACATGTACTGCATTTTCATTTTCAAAACAATGAAGAGCATGATTTAAAGGTATATATATTTTTAAGCCAGAAGGGAAAGTTTTCAGATGGATGAGCAATTTGACTAATAAACGAAAGCAAGTTCTTTGCATTTGTCTGCCTTGATGTTTTGATTTATAAGGCCATAAGCAAGCAGTTTTTGCCCTCCCTTAGATACCACTTACATTTATCATGTTGTATAGACCAGTGCTAGCAGCTAAAAAGTTTCCACTTTTTCTCCACAGCATCCTTATAAAGGAAGGTGTTAGGAAAATGTGAGTTAGCAGGGGAGGGATGATAACAGGATTTGCAAAAGCTGGAGCTCAAATTGGTTGAGTGACTTACCCAGAGGTACTTAGCCAAGAAACAGTCAACCTGAAAGGTACAATGAGTCTTTCTCCACTCCCTCTTTCATTTGCTCATTTATGTATTTTAAATTCTCACAACAGTGCTGTGAATTAAGTAGTGGTATTATGGTGCTGTGGGCTAATGCTCTGGACTGCAAAGTCAGCGCGAACCACAGGTCGGCAGTTCATGCTCACCAACCACTCTTCAGAAACCCTATTCAGGGTTGCTATGGCTCGGCACCAACTCCACGCACTTAACAGCCACAACAACAATATCCCTGTTTTGCAAAATTTAGCGGACTCCAAGGAAGGCCCACATTCCTGTTCCATTGTGCTTCACTGCCTCTGTTGTGATTGGTGCTCGTTGTTGTTGAGGCGTGGTGGCCATGTAAGCGGCAGCCCTGCACTAGCATCATGATGGTTACTATGCTTGAGCCCAGTGTTGTAGCCAGGCGATCCATCCTCCACACTGTATGAAAATTGTAATTGGAAGGTCATTTCTAGGAGTATATTACCAGACCTTTCTCCCTACTCTGAAAGCTCTGCTGAAACCTGTCCATCTGAGGTGACCCTGATGGCATTTGAGATGCTGGTGGTATAGCTTGCGGCATCACAGCAACCCACAAGCCTCCTCCACACATGGGCAGGTGGGTGGTAGGTGGCTTCTACAAGGGAAGCTGTGATGTCACAGGGCTTCACTTCCTCTTTGTGTTTCCTCTCCTGCTTGGCCTTGGCGAGGGGGACGTGGCCCTGGTGCGAAAAGCTCCCTGTGCTGCTGCTGGAGGCTGTGCTCGGACATGATGTGGGAGGCACCGTTCTGCTTTCGAGTCTGAACACATGGGTTTGGGTCTTCCTTTTGTCACTTGCTAGCTATATGTACTTGGCGTTCAGAGTACTTCTCTGCAAAGCAGGAAAAACAATACCCTTCTCATGACACAGTTATGAAATAAAGTCATAGAAGCTAGACAGCAAAATGGTGCCCAGTCTAACTCCCTTCTGCCATTTCCTTGCCTAGTTTCTACCTTGGACACAGTTTATGTGTGCCATATTGTATATAGAGACCAGTGTTAGTAGTCGTAGATGTATTGAAACCAGTTCATACTCCAGGGAGACTTTTGACAGAATATTTGTGTCAACCAAAGTGTGTTCTTTTATTTTTCCTCTTAAAGAACCATTTTTCTGCTCTGTCTCTCCCTACCCCCACCCCCCCACCAGGTCCTTGCCTACACCCTTAGCTGTGTGTGCACATCAGCATTCAGTGCTGGAATTATCAATGCTGGGGAAGCTGAAGATACCATGAACAAACTTCGGCTGTTAGTCGAGAACAACCAGCAGGTGGGAATGCATGCCCTGACTCTGCCTCTTCTGGTCCTCATGCTGCTGACCAGTCCTGATTTGCACTTACTCTGAATTAGACTACAATGGGTTATGTTTTAATAGGTGTCACAAGTCAGGAACTTCTAACTGGTCTCTCACAGCCATCACTAAGAGTCACAGATGTCTTTCTCTCTCTTTATATCCTAACTCCTCTGTTGACCTTTCTTTCTCTTTGCCTAAGAGAAAGTATTTTACTCTCTTCAACCATTGCTCTGTGTTCATAAAGTCTTAAAGCGTGTGACTAGGGAATATAAGAGTTCCATAAGGCTAGAGCCTTGAATGACAGAAGTTTGAAAAGACATGAATACTAAAGGGACTCTGGTAAGTATCTGATAACAATAAGTTCAAATTTCAACAAGTTTGGGGCAGATAATCTGTTCATTACTGAAACTGTAGAGGGAAATTTAAATACCCACAAATTAGATCAGCTTAAGTACCCTGATTACACGTGCTGGAGTAATTCCCTGCTGCGTTTCTTTTTATTGTTTTGCCAAAATTTTAATATTGGCCGTAGTGGGCTAATGAAGATTTCATTGGTTTTAAACGTCAACAGTGATGTTAGTTTTTAACGTGGTTATATGCCCATTCACTTACAATCAAAATAAGTTTTGCTTAGGCTCTGTGCATTCTGGGAAGTTTTCTTTTAGGAAAGTTGACTGGTGTCTTGTGGCCTAACTACCTTGGTATTTTCACCCTAACTCCTTTGGAGAATTTGGATTGTTTGAACTAAGTCGCTCAATAGTGAAGTATTATACTCCTAAAATAAACCACTCACTGAAGCTAAATTCCTTGCAATTAGACTCTGCAGTTTCTGTTGTAAGCCAAAGTGTAGATAATAAAACATCTGCGAATCACTGATTGTCAGATGGCAAAAAAGCTTGTCAGTAGGAAAGAGAGTCCCCAGAAGTGCTTGTGCTACTATATATAAACATTCCTAATCTGTATCCCCCTCTTTTTTTTTTTCCACTCGGTTTTATTTGTTTAACAGACTTCAGGATTTGCCCTGGCATTAGGAAACATAGTCCATGGTTTGTCTGTGTGTGGACACGGAAAAGCTGAAGACTTGGGCAACAAACTGCTTCCTGCCTGGATCAGAATTGTTCTAGCAGAGGTAGAAGCAACCTCCTGTATGTTGTTTGATGTTTATATAAAGGAGAAAAAAACCCAAAAACTACTATTGAACTGTTTCTAGGAACTGCTAAAGTGGCTTGCTCAGCAATAAAACGACAGGCAGTTTCCAATGGAAGAAACAACTATCAACTACTGCTTCCTTAAAAATCAGGAATTCTGTCAACTCTTAAGTTTTTGTAAACAAGCTATTTTGCTAGTGTTTTTGTTTTAAAACATGTTTCTGAAAAAGAAAAACAAATAGCCATCTATGATTCAACAGCTTTAATCTTTTTAGTTGATTCATTTGCGACCATTTTTGGTTCAAGGTTATGTTGACCTTCCAGTTTAGTGTCATTTGGCCTCAGTGGTCTGTTGCTCCATGGCATTGCTAAGTGTGATGGACTGCAGACCCAGTGACTATTCCTGCTTCCCATGTTCTGATGCTTTGTTTCCAGGGCACTCCCACGATGCTCTGTCTGGCAGCTCTTCATGGCATGGTAGCCTTGGTAGGCTCTGAAGGGGCTGTAATACAGGTAAAATAACTAAATAAAATAAAAGCAACTGTTTTGTGGCAAGAAAGAAATCTAAATGTCTACATAGCCACAGCAGAAGGGGAGTTCCCTTTATGCTAAGGACAGAGGAAGATCTGCTCAGAGTTAGGGTTGTACTGGGCTTTTTAATGCCTTTCTGTGTGAAAGAAATTGCTCTTGGCCAGTAATTCTTTCCATAGAGATTTGCTTCTTGTTTAATGTAGTTTGTAGGCATTAAGCTGTGTCAGTTTGTATGCTTTCCTTAAAGTTCTCTGCCTAAGAGAAGGGGAGAATAATAATTTCTAGTCACTCACAGGAAACTCCATTTTGTATCTATACTGTTTATATTTATATAATTATTCATTAACTTCAGAATGTCTTCAGTGGGTAATTGTATGTGTGTGTTACCAATAATCCAAAGGCGATACATCTTTGTTGATCCAGTAAAAGCTTATTAAAATGACTGCTATCTGCTATGCTGAACTGGTCCAGGGAATCAATGATAAATCAAGTGTGGGCCCTACCCTCAAAGAGCTCAGAGTTTGTATTTTTGAAATATAAGTACATTATGATGAATTATTCCTTCGCTTCTATGATGATAGTTCAGACCCTAGAAATATCAATCTTTGTTTCGGTGGGGGGGGTGGCGATGGGTATGTCTCCTTATTCTTTCAGGTGAAGTCCGAAGCCATCCAGACCTCTCAGTTTCAAGGCCGACTTAATGAAGTCATAAGAACCCTAACTCAGGTGAGAAGAAGAAGGTAAAGTCCTTGGGTGAGAAAACCGCCCTCTTTGCTATAGTGGTGTTTGTTTTTCTAATTAACAATGCATAATGTTTTGTCTGGTGAATGAGGACTTATCTAGTTATTCTGAGCTCACAGGGCTTTTGATGCTTACAGTCGGCCATGCCATTGCTGGCACACAGGCGCACTGCCTTTTGAGAAACAGAAAGCTGGCATATTTGAATTGATTTAAGTTGGCATTGGTGCCCCTTGGAAATTAAAACCTTATCCTGCAAAGATTGTCAGGCCCTCAGGACAAGGAAAACTGGAAGTTGGTCAAAGGCAAGGCAGACGGCTAGGTAGAATGGTCAGGAGGCACTGATTCAGGTGCTGCTGAGGAAAGGCCTGGGGCCAGTCATTGTCATAGTTCCTCTTGGTCAGGCAGGAAACATATTCATCTGCTGAGATGTCTTTTGTAAAGGATCATGTCTGTTGCATAAAATTTGAAAGTATAGACTCAAAGAAGCTAAACCAAAGATCTCTGACATCCCAGGCTGAAGATGCCACTGCTAACAATTGGCTGTAGTTCTTGCGAAGCATTCTTATTTCCTGTGATCTTTGGGCTTCTCACTGTATACGGGACATTATAGCTTATTCTTTCAGTGAGTATGCTTGTTTTCATTCTTGTGAAATGGAGCTGATTATAATACTTACCACATAAAGGAGTTTTTGTAATTCATGCTTTTAAAAACAAACATGAATCTCTGGATTTAAAAAAAACGAAAAACACTCTCTTCTGCATCTATGAATATGAGCATTTTTTCCTTAAAAAAGTATTCAACTGAAACTTAAATTGCTATGACTCAAGATAAAAAGCTATAAATGCAAAATATTATTGTAAGCATGCATATTATGAATGATAAAGTGATAATAAAACACCACTGAGTCAATTCCAACTTGTAGCGCTCCCACAGGCCAGGAGAATTACCACACAGAGTTGGCAAGGCCAGAACCTGTATGTAAGCCATCTGCCACATCTGTCTTGTGTGGAGCGTCTAGTGGGTTCAAACCTCCGACTTTTCAGTTAGCAGCTGAATGCTTAAACTTTGCACCACCAGTACTCCTTAAAGTATACAGAATGTCATTAGTTAAAGAGAACAAAATGATATCTCTTATTTTTACCGGTATTCTACTTGTTACTGGTGTGGTGCTGTGGGTTAAAGCGTCAGACTGCAAAGTCATTTGGACTGCAAGGTCGGCAGTTCAAGCTCACCATCTGCTCCTCAGAAAGCCTATACAGGGTCACTATGGGTTGGAATTGACTCAACGGCACTTAACAACAACAACTAATTGTACACCCATAGAAGCAGCACTCAAGGAACCAAACGATGTATATTGCATTAGGCAAATCTGTTGCACAAGATTTCTTTAAAGTGTTCAAGAGCAAAGATGTCAGTTTGAAGGGTAAGATGTGCCTAACCCAAACCTTGGTATTATTTTCAATAACCTCAAAATGCATGTGAAATGTGGGTTGTGAATAAAGAAGACCGCAGAAGAATTGATGCATTTGAATTATGGTGTTGGAGGAGACTATAACAGTTATTGTGGACTGGCAAAACAACAAACCAATCTGTTGGCAGAAATACAGCCAGAATGCTCCTTGGAAGCCAGGTGGCCAGATGTCATCTCTCGTACTTTGGACATATTATCAGGAAGGACCAGTTCCTGGAGAAGGATGTCATCTTTAGTAAAGTGAAGGATCAGAGAAAAAGAGGAAGACCACCAATGAGATGGATTGGCACAGTAACAGCAGCAGTGGGCTCAAGCATAGCAACCCATTGTGAAGTTGGCACAGGACCCCAGACGGTATTTTGCTCTGTGTCAATACTGACTCGATGGCACCTAACAACAACAACTTTATAGTTGTAATCATCACCCCTTTTCTATGTTCTGGATTTTAATTTACCGTTTTCTTTGACACCAGCCTGACTTAGTGAAAGCCATAATTCATCAGTTCATTGATGGTTTTATTCATTGATTGATTCATTCAAAAACATTTATTGAGCACCTGTTGCATCCCTGTTGTACAAGACACAGAATAGTACATCTTGTTATAGAACTTCTACTTATCAGCCAGCCCACCACCTCATACAAGATGAGTGACGTCCAGGGATGGCGTTTTATTAAAGATATTAAAGGGAGTTTGAGTCATACCCCATAAATGAACTATTATACTTTTATCCTTAGGTTATCAGTGTCTCTGGGGTGATTGGCCTTCAGTCAAATGCAATCTGGCTTCTAGGACATCTTCATCTGTCTGTTCTGTCCTCAAATCAAAGTCGAACCTCTGGTAAGATTCCAGTTATAAAGCGGTAGAGCTGGAAGGAGGGATTGCTGATTTAATACTGTGCACTTTGTTAAGCATTTATTTTCACAGTAAACCTAAGTGGTGGGTTTTACCATCCCTATTTCATATTAGAGGGACATGGAGTGTGCAGAGGTTTTGTGACTTAACCAGAGACATGTGCAATAAGTGGTGAAGTTTCTTGAACTCAAATCTGTTGACTTTTTCTGCTTCTCATCTCTGCCTCCCTTAGAAAGCAGTGTAGGCAGATTATCTAACCTCCATACTTTACAGTGAAGACTGTGAGCTTAGAAAGGGTATGTGGCCTACCTACACTTGGTATAGTAAAGATTCTAGGAACTAGGAACCTTGAAATTTGGGACAGAGTTTGTTTAATTTTACTAATTACGACAGTGATTTGTATAAATATCATGTTTCATGAAAAGTTTCTTCAGATATGGCTGGAGTTTTTATGGCTCCTGCTTCTGCGAAAATAACAGGGTAAGTACATTTAAAGATGTATACTTCTTTGGCTTTGGAATAGAAATTCGAGGTCTTAATATGACCAGGCTTTTTTTCTCTCTCTAGCTGTTTGATAGAAACAATAAAAAATACTTGCAATTCCCACCTGCTTAATTTATATGTTACTTGGAGGGTTTGTGGGGAAGGCTTCATTGTGAACACATTGGGAGTTACATCTGCTCCTTGCTCTTTATAGAATTTTGACCCACTGGCTATCTTGGACCCAGGCCAACCAGGTTTAGATACCAAAGGTTCCTCATTAAAGCCTAGTCTCACATAGCCACTAACAGGTGGTCTGAGCACAGCAGTAGTGAGAAGGAGGATCACTGTGATTACTCTTTTCCTTGCTTTCAGTCCCACCTTAGCTATGGAAATAGGACATTGTTCCATAGCCTTCCCAACACAGAGAACTTCAGACAGCTGGAAGCCATCATATTAAAATGGGAAAAAGAAAAGGAAAGAAAAAAACAAAACAAAACACTGGAAACCCTTGGCATTGCCAATTTTGAAGGGCAGAGCTCTCAGAGTCCTGTTAAAATGACTTCTGTCAGACATTTGCGCCTTCATGTAGCCTTTTCATTATTACGTTATGGGGTATGCAATCTGGCCCACGCATTCTCAACTCACGTAGGAGTGAGTCATCTCGCACCCTTCTGGCTCTTCTGAACAAAATGATTGTATGTCTGGAAAAGTACAGCTACTTGTAAGGGTGGAATTTTCCAATTGAGCCATTTATTGCACTAGAAACCATCTCATGAAACAATTATGGAGAACTGGGAGGAAAAGGATTTAGGAGACTCTCAGGACTTAGCTAGCATAAATGTCACTGCTTCACCGTTCCGGGTCAGCAGCCACATCTGGTTATTTGCACATGTTGGTCACTTAGAGGGCTGTACCTTATGCAGTAAGAGAGTGGCTGCTATTAATACTAGTTGTTGAATTTGCAAGGTTCACCGGTCTGATTCAGCATGTCCTAAAGTGGCCCCTGGAATAGCAGTCCCCACGCGGAAGCCCAGCAGAGTCCCTGCTGACCCTGACGAGGTCGCGGGATTGGGGCTTACTGATCCTACAATATGAAAGAATTTTGCAACCACTTCAGTAGTTTTCACCTTCTGATTTTTCAGCCTCGGCAAGGTTTGCCACTGTTTTTTATTTGTCTTTAGAGTCTGAGTGATTGTAGTTCTTTGGGGCCAGTCACTTAATCTAATAGAATTAGTTGCAGCCACAGAGTATTGTGCTGAGATTAATAGCTTTGTCTCTAGGTTGATATGGCAGCATGAGATCATTATCTTTCCTTCATTAGTCCCACCAAGTTCACTAGTTAATTTGATCATTTTCTGTCTCCGCAGTTCCCACTGACTATAGCTATTTGCCGGAAAGCAGTTTTATTAGAGCAGCCATTGGCTTCTTCATTACAGGAGGAAAAAAAGGCAAGTGAGCATATTTCTTGAATTTCATCATTTTTCCTACTTGTTAAGTTTGTGTGTCCTTAACAAGCCATTATAGAAGTTGTTGTTGTTGTTAAGTGCTTCGAGTCAGTTCTGACTCACAGCGGCCCTGTACAGGTTTCCTGAGGAGCAGCTGATTAGCTTGAACTGCCAACCTTGCAGTTTAAATGACCTTGTTGTCCAGTGCTTATCCTACAGTGCCACGCCAGGAATAAGCAATACAAATCTGTAGGGTGAATATCTTTTCTTGTTGTTGAACTAGATCATCTTTGCAATATAGATGATTAGCATGCAAATGACTGAAAATGGTACATAAACATGCCTACTTTGTTTTTTTGTTGTTCTTAAGTGCCGTTGAGTCAGGTCCAACCCATAGCAACCCTGTATAGGGTTTCCAAGGATCAACTGGTGAGCTTAAACCACTGACCTTGTGGTTCAGCGCATTAGCCCACAGTGCCAAAGTCACTTGGAAATCACTGTACCTGAGTTTGGGAGGCTCTGTGAAGACTTTATCCATCCATTTATTTGGCCATTGTAAAATTTGTAAGTGCACATTACTTTTCTTATCAATTTCAGCTGAGGACTGTTAAGAGACAACACACCTGGGGTAATTTGTATCTAGGACCTGTTCTCCCTGAACATTGTATGAACACTTGGTGGTGCTAGAATCCCCAACTCTCGTTCCTACTTTAAGGATCCCTGGTAGCATAAGGGTTATATGTTGCACTACTAACCACTGGGTCAGCAGTTGGAATCCACCAGCCATTCCAGGTGAGAAAGATGAGGCTTTCTGCTCCTGTAAAGATTTCCAGCCTCGCAAACCCTGTCCAGGAGTCCTGGTGTGGTGCTGTGGGTTAATGTGCCAAACTGCAAAGCTGTTTGAACTGCAAGGTTAGCGGTTCAAGCTCTCCAGCTGCACCTCGGAAACCCTATATAAGGTCACTAAGGGTCGGAACCGACTCCATGGCACTTCACAACAACAACAACAAGCCCCATCCAGGGTCACTGTGAGCCAACACCGACTCCACAGTGAGCAGAAGCAGTAGTGCTCCTTTGAGCCTGTGATCTCTTTCTCTGCAAACCAAACACTGATCTCTTTGTGACTCTCTATAGCTGCCACCACATTAGAGCACAAACAATTCGAAGCCAGAGATTTACTGTCTTTTGTTTTTTTAGCTGTTGCCAGAATTATTGTTGTTAAGTGCCTTCAAATCGGTTCCAACTCATAGAGACCCTGTACAGGGTTTCCAAGGAATATCTGGTGATTTGAACTGCCAACCTCGTGGTTTGCAGTCCAGTGCTTATCCACAGTGCTACACCAGGAGTCCATAGCCAGAATAATGCCATGTAAATGACTGGATAAATGCTCTTCAATGATGCACATATATTACTCAGAGTTAGGAGGAAAATATGTCAGAACTGCACACTGTCATGGCTCAGGAGTCAAATTCATGAGTGTAATGTTCTCTCCGTGATGGTTGCTCCTTTTATCCTTTCTTGAGCAAGTCAGTCTGGGCAAGTCAGTATTACATACAGGAAGCCCATCCCAATCTTAGAAGAAAACTGTTAAAATTAAAACCTAAAACTAGAAGTAATTTGGAAAAGTCAAGTTCAATTAATGAAGGTCATGGAAGAATACAGTCTTGAATTGGAAGGGATGTTAGAAGTCACGCTGTCTGATTCCCACTGGCTGTGTGAATCCAGTGAGGAAACCAATAGAGCTTCCAGACTATGAACTACTTTCATAACTTTAGGAACAAATTTCTTAGTGTCTGAACTTCTAGAACCTGTGCTGTTTACCTAGACTCTTGAGTCGGCATCGATTGCTTTTATTTAACTTAAGTAAAAATTGATATATTGTAATTTTAATTGTACATTTTATATGTGCATGTACTATGTTACATAAATGTTATATATATAATATATAGTTAGTTGTTAATTAGAACAGAGTAGACCTGCCCCATAGGGTTTCCAAGGCTGTAAATCTTTATGGAAGCAGAATGTTGCATCTTAACCCCCAAGGAGAGGGACGTTTCGGTTAACAGCCAGCACTTAACCACTGCGCCAACAGGGATCCTTTAATTGCTTATATTACCATGAATGTAAACCTGTTTAAAGTAGATATGTCATAATAGAGGTGTGTTCATTAGTAAGAAATTAAATTCTTATTAAACAAGCATCTAAAATTCCCATGGCTAAGAGCAAAGTTAGGAATGTCTTTCTGTTGGATTTTTTTTGTTAGTTTGCTCACTGAAAACGTGAAATGTTTCTTTGAGAAAGAAGATAAAAATTCTTACAGTCAAGTAAGATATAGATTCTTTTCTAGTGACTAAAATTTGGTCATTTTGACTCTCAGATCGGGACTTGCTTAGCAGAAATGAAATTTTCTCTGTGTCTGATGGGAACTTCTTGGTTAGAGATAAGATTTTTAGAATTATATCATCATGACACAATGGGAAATGTTATTCTAAGACTGAAAAATCAGGTCCAACTGGAATTGGTGGTGGTCCGTGTAGCATTGCTGGAGGATCCTTTCAAGCCGATAAATGAAGGATTTTAAAATGCCGTATTACCAATCCAATTTTTGGCATTTTCAGGTTGTGGGAGAGGGCTGCCTTCTTGTCAGGTTGCTGACTAGATTCAGAGGACAATCTATTCAGCCTTACACATTACTAATGATGACCCCAGAGCAGTGGGGGCCGTGGGAGGCTGACCTCGGCCTCGGAAGCCCATTTACAAAAACAAAACCAGACCCTGCTCTATGGTGCTAAATGGGATGGCCAAAGGCGGAGGTGTGCATGCAAACGAGGGTTTTCTTCTTCAATATGCCTGGCTCATTTGAATTTTAATAACTCCCTTCTGAAGCAGCTTTTGAGTTTAAATGTCTGGATGTCACTCAGCACAGCCCAGTGAGACTGCGGATAGGATGGATGACAACTTTGGTGAGCTCTTTTGAAGAAGAAATGGTTTTCAAGAATAAGAATCATTCTTGGCTTAGGCAAAAGAGAAAACTACAGAGATGGAATGGCTTCATTGCTCGTGTTTCTTAATTTTAATTTAATAACTTAAGAAGGAAAGACAATGCTATGGGTTATCAGTGATCCACACTCATGCCAAGATGAGATTGGGCACTGCGGCCTCAATTTTAGCCAATCAAATTTGAAGTAGTAAGTATGTGTGTTAGTCTGTTTCCTGATGAGTAGGGCTTTCCACTTTAGATACTCGAATACTCATGTAAGATGTTCACAGCATCCACCCTTCCATACATGCCTACATTTTAAACTATACCAAATATGTTAAATTATTTTCCGTTTTAAAGACTTAAATTAATGATTCTGCTATTCCATGTTCACATTCTTTTTTCTATCCTAATAGCATTGATGTTATGGCAAATGGATTTTGCCAACCCATCTTTTGTCATTTAAACATTCATATCATCATTATCTATTCCTAGAAGCATTGCTTATAGGCACCTAACAACAACAAATAAGCATCCCTTGGCTATGCTAGGCTTAAAATATTTGCTTACTATCTAATTACTCATATCATGAAATTATTTTTCCATGAGAGAGCCTGTCATTTTTGACATTTTTATGTTTTCTGCTTAAATTTGCTTTATTTTGATTTCTGATCTTTGTGTTTTCTCAACCTCATCATTGTCAGATTTAACTATGATTTCATTAACTTCTTTTATAAAACATTCAAAACATATTAAAATCATTTCTTTCCTGGCACTAAAATTAGTTATTACTACACATTAGGATTATTTTTGTTACCATTCTTTGACTGAGGAATGTGACTAATACTTTCTAAGTTCTATTAGGCTTTCAAGTTTACAATAAGAAATATGATGTGAGGAAAGTGTATTTAAATCCATGTAATGAAGTCATAGTAAAGCGGAGGGTCAAGGAGAAAGAGGGAGATTGACCCCCAACAAGATGGATTGCCAGTGGCAGTGACTATGAGCTCAGATGTGACAATTGTGATGGTGCAGAATTGGGCCGTGCTTCCTTCTGTCATGCATAGGGTCGGGATGAGTTGGACCTGACTCGATGTCACCTAACATCAACAAAGTCATTGGGAATGATGTTGCTCAATTGATGCATGACTTCATTCATCAGTGGTCGGTGTACGTATTGGCCTGTGCATCAAGTCTAGGTTAGTATATTCTCAATTAAGCAGTTTTGAACTATTCAAATAAAATGTAACAAGGATAAAATTGTTGCATCTGGCTGAAGGAAACAAGTAGTGAACTATGATTGTAGACTAAGTGATAAACAAGGGGACTTCAAAAAATTCTTGTGAAGAATCCATTTCTTTTCATTCCATTTTTCCACAAACTTCCCTTTTGTATGAGAAAATTGTCTTATTATGTGGTGAAATCATGGACTTGTTGCCAAGACTTGTTATTTTTTTTAAAAGGCTTTTATTGTGAATTTAGTGATAATTTACATGGGAGAACATCGGTTTTGCACTCATCCTATTGTATTTCATTTCACTGCAATGATTACAATCTCCTCAATGCATCATCCTTCAACAGTATTTGCTTCTATTCTCTGTTTTTGTTTTTTGATGTACACAAAAACACTCAGGCATATATAATCATTTAAACAACCCAAGGGCACATTCTGCAAGCCTGCCTCCTGGCCACCAGCACATAGCCTTTCTCTTTCCATGAGTCTAGAGTCCTCAGCTGCTCTTATCTCTCCATGTCATCCACTCTGCCTCCATTTTTGGTGTCACTGCTTCCCTGGTTAGGGTCCCACATTCTGCTCATGCTCTTCTCCCTTGATGATCCTAGGGTCCTCTGTTCCGGGAATATAAGATATACTATTCCCCGCTTTATATTACAAAACTTCTACCTTTACAGTTGTGGCAATCGTATTTAGTCATGATAACAACTACTCACTATTTAATCATAAGAATCTTATCCCCATCTCCTTTCACCAGACCCATCTAGACAAGATGAAAACTACTCAGTG